CTGATTAGTTTTTGGCGAAGGAAGGTCTAAGGTGCCAAAACCGTAAAAACAGTTTTTAAAAGAACGGAGAGTTCGATTTCAATAATTCAAAAAACATTTTTTTTTGTATTGACAAGATAAAGAACTGATGAAATTTTTGGGGAGGCAGGTCCAGCGGTATGGACTCTCAAAATTTAAAAAAATGTCATTTGGTTGCGGTCCAAAATGTTTATTGGACACATGTACATCAAATTATCAGATATTTTATAGTCATTTTAATAATGTGCACACATTTTGTGTATTTTTTTTGGGTTTCGTACCAAGATTTTTAATTTTAAAATTCACGTATATGGTTGAAACAAATGTCCTCAACATTTTCGACAATATGGAATAACCGATTTGTATGATTGAAAAATCATTCGTTCGTACACGATCGTGAGGCGTTTTATGCAAAAGGCAAATTTGTCATTTCGGTATATGGAGCGCAAAGGGTGTAAAACTATTAATTTTTTGAGAGAACGGTTCATCCGATTAGATTAATTCAAAAACACTTTGCTTGCGTAGACGGTATAATACAAAAATTTTAGTAATTTTGACAATTTTCAAAAAAAATCAAAATTTCATACAAATTCAAAGTTTCAAAAAAATATAATTTTCGAAGTTTTTCATCATTTAAAAAAAAACTAAATTTTGAAAATTTTAAAAATAAATCGATTTTCTTACAAAAATTTGAGAATATTTCGGTTGCCATGACAACGCTATTTTATGACTCTGTTACGGCAGAATTGCCCCTTTGTCAAAGAACTTTCTAGTTTGAAGGTGAGGTCAAAATTTATTTATTTATCGTGTTCTAAAAGAAATTTGTGTTATTGTGATTTCAACAATGGACCTACATTATAAAATTGATAGGGTCCAGTAATTGATGTCCATAATGTATTTATCACCTGTATTGATTTCGTTTAGCAAATGGTGACCTGGCCAGAGGTGGTCTGCGACCTTCTTCAGTTTCAAAACTGCTGCGATTCTCTAATGGTGTTTGCTGCATTGGAGGAGCTGCAAAAGAACCCTTGATGGTCGAAACTGGATCTTTTTCGGGAGCTTGGTCATAATTTCTTAGCTGCAAAAATAGAGGTAAATAACAAAATTATTTGTATTTGTATAATAAAACCGGCAGGAAGTTTTTAGACTCTGTATGCAATTGCATCATAAGTTATTTCATAGACATCTATGCTTTTTGAAAAAATAATAACATGCATGGAATTGCATCAATGTTGGTTTCAAAACAAGTTTATATATGCTTTGGAAAAATTTGTAAATCCATTTAACTATACCTGTTGATGTCCGAAAGTGGTTTGTAACTTCCTCATTGTAACTGGGGGCGACTTGTGATTTGCAGCAGATTGTTGCTCCACATGTGGTTGTTGAACCCCAATTGCAGCATTCTCTCGTCTACAAAAGTTGTACAAACTAATAGCTATTTATAATTATTTTTTTTTATTAATAAATACTAATTTACCTGTATGAATGCGTGTTTAGTTCTTGTGCATTCTGTGACATCTGCTGTTTTTGCTGCAAAAATTTGTTATGATTTTCTGCGTATGGATTTTGATGCTGGGTCGTAACGTGATAAAGCAACTGTGGAGGCTGTTAAAATCAAAAACATAATACATGATTTTATTTTGATAGAGAATACATTATCTAATATATGATCAATCATATATCACTTTTATTTCTCCACGTTCATTCCTCCAAAGAGATGCAGTCGGGTATCAAAAACAATTGCTTTAATATTTTGGAGAAATAAAAGTAAGAACTACATTTTTCTTCCACATTTCTTTACAATATTTTTCATTTTTTGGCTTTTATTATATAGCCATAAAACACAAAAAAAAGAATTATTATTAACCTGTTGTGGTAATGCTGGTTCCATTTGCACAGAATCGCGTGTTACTTGATTTTGCTGCGCCTTCATTTTTTCTAAAGCCCTGTAAAAATGCATCAAAACTGTTTAATCAGTCTGATTTAATTTTTATTACTATGGTGTATTAAAACAGAAATTCGTCTTATAGATTCCGAATTTAGTTTTACCTTTGTTGTTCTTTAATTTTTGAAATGAGTTGTTTGGTGCTAGAAATATCTTCTCCTTGGCAGAAATTTCCTTTTGAATCCTTCTGCAGTAATGTCTTGAAAAAAAAAAAAATTATATTTAATATTTCACTAAGACATTAGGAATTAGAATCATAATTAATGATAAATGATTAGAATTATAAAGGTGTAATAAGACTTCTCATGAACAGTTAGCGCACAGTGACTTAACAATTTTTATAAAAAAATACATTACCTTTTTGGTAAATACTTTATCAATTATTTTATTAATCACGTGATCGATTTCGTAGGGATTTTTGGACACCCCCCTCTCCCTTGGTGGTTTGTCGTGATATTTAAAATTATCTCCCCTCTTCCATCGAATATCACGTGTATTTTCAGTTACGTATTTT